CATCATTCAGTGGTATACAAAACATATGCAGGAAGTCAGAGATGGGAACTAATTAGTCAAAACACACAGTCCCTGACTGCAGGAAGAAGGTAGAAGGGCTTTTATGGAGTTAAAAATGAAACCAAACCACTTATTGCATCTGAAAGAAAAAATAAAAAAGAAGAAGGAAAAGAGGCCTAGTGTTCCTGAGAAATCTGCCTTGGCATCAGCTGCCAAAGTTCTGCTAACACCTATAGCTTTGGGTCTCCCAAAACCTATGGTCATTGCAAAAGTTGGGGCAAACTTGTGACTTTCCTGTTAGGCAATGAAACAAACTTTGACAGTTCCTCAAGAGGAAGAACAACCTTAGATGGATAATCAGAATCTTGAAGTTATGAAAACTCTCCTTCCAGAAGTGCAAGCTAAAGACTTGCCTCTGGGCCTGACCATCAACCATGCTTACTTGCCACAACCCCTGTTGCTGTTAAGATGTCACAGGAAGTGCAGACAGACATGCAGCCACACATAAGCCTGGTACACTGTTAGTCACTGTGGGCAAGATTTCTTTGCCATCAGCAATGCAGCCATCATCTTGCATTCTGCAGTTCCCAACTCATACATCCTTTTTGGACTATTACTCAATTGCTACAAGGATTTGGAAACACACACTATTTTGGAGGAGGCCCTAGGCCCAGGAAAGCCCATTTCTCTGTTCATTCCAACTCCATCATGGTCCCCTGGGAAAGAAACAGTGAGGCTTCAAAACTATATAAGGTCAGTAGACCATCAAACTGCTAAAATTCACTTCTTCTACCTGTAAAGCTAGTTGAAGATCTCTGAGCTGCCAACACTGTAACAATTGCCCTCTATACATATTGTCTCAGTCTTTTAGCACCCAAAGCCTGCTGGTACACCTGCTTGGTCCTAAAGAATGCCCTCTTCTGGCTTCTGTTGGCTCCTGTCAGCCATCCCATCTTTGCCTTTGCCTCAGTAGACCACTGAGAGTGCACAGTGGTCTACTTGTGCAAATACTTGGGTCACTTCTTTAAGAGGTGCCACCCCCTTTTGCCTCCATGCTCTAACAGCCAGTCCTTACAATCGAAAAGTTGATAAGCTCACCTTAGGCCAAGACCTAACTGTCCAGATGCCACAAGCTGTATATGTATTTCCTAAGTAACTGTAGACTGTTATATATGCTGAGTACACCCTATTTATGGAAGAAAATAACTGTGCTAGGAATGAAGTCTGACGAGCTAGATTTGCTCTGATTACCTTGGACAAAGCTATTTTGGCCAAGGCTTTCCTGCAGGGGTGATCTTCCTGTTAGCCACTGTTTAGAAACCTACAACTAGTGACACTAAACTTTTGCTCAGAATAATTCAGTCCAGAGGCCTAATTTCTATCCGAGGATCCAGTTGACCGAAGAATCAACTCCAGTCAGAAAAACCTTGTCTGGTACTCCCAGAAGATCCATTGTAATCAGAGCCAGTTTTGCCCCAACCATATGTTTTTCAAGGTCGGGTCTCAATGCTGGCCCCCATAACCCTACAGGAAGCTCAGGCTTCAGCGTCTATATTGGTGACACCACCCAACGGACAGAGTTCACGGAAGTAAAGGCTTACAAGGTCTAACAGATATGTGTTAATGCTTATATGCACCTAGTCTGGCTGACCTGAGGTATTTGCTACCTGTGATGAGAAGGCAATAAATGTTTGTAGGCTCCTGCTGTAAAGAATCATCCCTACATAGCCTACGCTTGACCATTGACAGTGACAACAGGCCTGCATTTGTAACAGAGAAAACTAAATAAAAATTACATACAGCATATAGGCGATGAACTCTAAGAAGTTGAGAAAATAAAGTATAACTCTACAGAAGCATTTTGTAATTAGCTCCATAAAAGTTTAGCTAAAAGATCAGTTATACCTGTAGGAATTCGTGCACCACATATATAACCCTATAACCATATAACATAGAACTTTTAGGGAAATTAATATATTAACTATCTTATAAGTTTCGGAAATCCAGCCTTAGATCTGCTGGAAAATTTTTTAAATTTTTAAAGAGAATAAAATCAAGCAAAATAAAACAGAATAAAGCCAATCAAAACAAACTAGTGTGACACAAGATTTAAAAACAATATGAAATCAACAGTGATTACATAATGCCTCTAGTGCCTTTTGTATCTTCAAAATAGCTGCCCATAAATTCAGACAGTAAAAATCAAACAAAATAGAAGAATAGAACCAATAAAAACAAACCAATGAATGCAATAAAGGACTTCAAACTTAGACAATAGTAAATCCAAAATGCTTACCATAATATATCCCATTATCTTTGAAATAGCTGCCCATGCCATCAGATACAATAAAATTTAACAAGACAAAACAGAATAAAAACCCAACCCCCCAAAACAATGAAAATGATGCAGGACTTCAAAACAAGATAATAGGGAATTAACAATGGCTACCAACTTCAGAAGGAGATCCCCCATAAATGCTACACTGCCTATTGATATCTTCTGAATAGGTGATCACACTACTGGCTTTAGACCTGCAAAATCAACTAAAAACACTAAACACTACAAGCACTAAATTGTAGTATACCTCAGTAGCTATCATTTCAGCCTATGTTTCTCTGCATTGCATGGTGGCTTAGCGGGTGGGGAGAGTTGACTGCTCTTATTTTCCAGCCTGTGCAACGGAAGTGGTTGGCATCTGGCTCCCGCCCAAGTGGCTGGTGCATGGTGCTGATTTTCAGGGAGGGCTTGCTTCTTGATGACTTCTTGTTCTCTTACCCTGCAGCCTCTGTTGGAAAGTTTATCTGGATCAGCTAGCTCACTGGAGAGATGACACACTCAAAGCTTTTCCCTGGTCATTCTGAATGCCAACTAGTTCATGCATGGCTGACGTGTGAGGACATCATTCACAGGATTGTTTCACACCTATTCCCCTTGATTTTTGTGTCTTTTCAGGAAGCTTACCCTTTCTTTCCTGCATCCTACTAGCTGTGGTTTTTGCCTTAAAAAACTCTAGAGACAGTTGCTTCAAGAGAATAGAACAATCAGTCAAATACTTGATCAAGATTTGATGAATGTCCAAGATACATTGGATTCTCTTGTAGATCACATTAACTCCTTTCCTACCTTGCCAGAGTAATGTTACAAAATAGTCCAAAATTATATCTCTTCCTAAAAGCAACTTAGAAAATATTCTGTAATAAGACAATCTTGGTAAACTTGGCAAAGCCTGTCCTAGAACAACTGAAAACCCTAATGTTACTTCTTCCATTTGGGACTTGTCTCAAAAAACATCTCATGTAATATGCCCAGTAAAGATTTGCCAGGGAAACTAGAAGGGGAAATGTAGAAATGTAGCAGAACTCACCACCTGCCCCCTGGCCACTATGCTTCAGTTTGTTAGTTGCACATGTAATAGTTCCAGTTTCAGTTCCTGTTAAGTTTCTTAGAAATGGTCACTGTGATGCATATTATAAGAACCAGTCCCCAGTTGACAAACCATTCTGCCTCTATAATTCCTGCCTGCGTATTGCATGAGCCCTACACCACCAGAGATCAAGGCTTAAAGTTTTGGGAATGATCCCGATCAGTTCCCATCAATGTAAGTAAATCTGCCTCTAAACTCTGGTTGTTGTGTTGATGTTTCTGTTTCCTGTAGCATCTGCCCAGTGAATATTAAGTGCATACGAGGGTGGAATGAATAATAAATGATAAAAAGTTTACATATATGTGTAACATTATTCCGGGATGCTGCATAATCACCCATCCAAAACATAATGACTTAAAAATGTCACATGTTGTTCTGAGAGCAGGAATTTCAATACAATTCAGTGGGAAAAGCTCACCTTATCCTACACAGTGCCATCTGGGGTGACTTGAAATCCAGGGATAACTGGAAATTTGAGTCGAGAATCACCTGAAGTGCATGTTAGTGGCAGTTGAATGCCACTTGGAAACTGCTTAGTTTATTTACAGGAAGCAAAAACACATGCATGGCAGTTTTATGACTCAGCCTAAATTTTGGAGGTCATGTGGAATCATTCATTACTCCCGTGTTTTGTTGATTGAGGCAGATTTTAAGCAAAGAAACGGAGAAGCCACCATAAGAAATGAAATGGGAGTAGTGTGAAAGACATACTGCAAGAAGAGCATATGGGATTGTGGTGTATTGGAGTGGCCAGTTTTGGAAGAAACAGTGCTATAATTTCTAATATATTAATAGAGACTTTTCCCTTCATAAATTTTTATTCACTAGATAACTTTACAAAAGAGATTATTTCTGATACAGTAAATATTTACTATTTTCTGTAAAAATTACTGTTTAGGAAGTGAATTGAGAAAGTAATTTGTTTATCTTACATGGAATCATTTAGAAATAAGCTGATAAAGATGGCAGGAAATATGTCTTCTGAATAATCAGCTGTATCCCTAATGTCTGGTATGTACATGTCATGTAGGGAAGTGCTCAATGAATTACACTGCATAAAAAAGGAATATGATTCCATCTGATAATGTACATTATTTCTTAGTCCTTTCAAAAAGCTGGTTTGTTCTTTATATTGGCCCCAATGTTGATCATATAGGCCAGAATATATGAGCTTTGGAACTATTTTGAAAGGTTAGGTTTTGTGTTCTGGATGTTAGAATTTTACAGCATTTCCTCTGTGAGTTCGGAGCTCTTTCAACTTACTCCCTTAGTATTAATTCATTAATTATATGACATCACACATCATATCATAATTAATTTTACATGCGTTTGCCTCCTAGGTTGCAAACAACTCAAATGCTGGACTGCAGCCTCACAAGTTTCCTACCAGAACACCATACTTCTGCTGTCTGATAGCTGCTGTTTGTCAACTGTTGAAATAATGAATGAAAATCTAAATTGTGTTTGTCCTTTCACGTATATACTTGTCTTTAAAAATTAAGTTGTTCCATGAAAAATGAAGAAACTTATTATGACTTTATTAGACTTATCCACTTAAAATAACGTATTGAGTTCAGTAACAATAAATAGATATATACTCTGTAAAGATGAACGTATTACCTTTAGATATTTTCTAGTGTCCTTTTATTAAAAGAAAAAAAGAGTAATGTTAGAAATAGTTTTATTTCCTTAAGAGAACTGACTGGAGTAGCTGTCTCAGTCCTAGAATCTGGAAGGAACAGGCCACACCACCTCAGAATCCAAGGTGGTATCTAAGGGTTTATTATACATGCTCAGGAAGGTTGCTGGATCTGTGAGTTCTTCAGAATTACATAAATACTTTATGATTTGTTCTGGGGGGAACAGGTCAGGTGAAGTGTTTTGCAGGTTATCATTATCTAATCCTTGAGTACCCACTTTAAGGGTCCTATAAAGGCGCAGAGCCAGTTGGTGAGTCCGGGTAAAAAAATCTGTGATGATCTCCTCCAGAGACTGAGACTGTGTCATGTCATCCAGATACATGATGGGCATTCTTACTACTGAAAAATGCCATTGTGTGAAGAGCCTTGTTGGGATGTTATGAGAAATGACGACAATTTTCATTTTTTGAATCCAGAATTCCGTTTCATTCCTTTCATGGCGAACATAATCTAAGAGGACTTGCTGAAGAGTTTCATGGGAGGATTCGAGGATATGCAGCATGGAAGTGGAGTAAATGAGCAGTAGCCCTGTCAATGCTTCTCCTGGGTGATATTTTAAAATAGACTGAAATGCTTGGTCATAGTATTCAGCAATTTTATTTTTCTCCATGTCTGCTTGTATGTTGGCCACTAGAAACATCCTATGGATGAGGAATTTCTTGAGCTGCAGTGTTTGTTTCTTTTCCAGAAGGTGCAAGTAATTATCACGGGGCACCTGTGTCAGTAAAGGAGTATCCAGTTGACCAAGCCTTTTGCTCTTCTTTTCGTTTTGGGCCATGAAGGCCAGGCCAGAGCTTCTTTAGCTTCCAGATGATTCCAATTTTTAGGATATTGTGATAATTACGTTATTAGTATAGCCCCTGAGTGATGACGTCTTTTTGTTCTTTCTGACAGAAAAAAAGAGTATACAACATAAATGTTACTGAACAGTGAAAATCTCTTCCCAATACTATCAATAAATAATGTCTTTCAATTGAATTTTAAGACAAACTAAAGAGATTATTTTAACATTTACAAGTGAAATTACTAACATATCCTAGTAAAAAACCCTTCAAATATAATGTAATGATAAATACAGATTGTCTTCATTTGTGAAGTTTTTAAGACTAACACTTTGTGAGAAGTATTCCAACATCTTTTATACATTTGACTGATCTATATAGTTAAAAATTTATGAGCACTTTAAGCTTATTTAATGTTTGGTACACTAGAAGTTGATAAGTGTTACTTGAATAATGACAATGAACTCTTTAAAAACATTTTTTTGATTCTTTGTGTTTTTCCCCTATCAGTATCTCTTTGGCTTTTTTTTAAGGTTTATATAAAAATATTATGCTACTTTAACTGGATCTTAAAAATATCCTCCCCCAGGCTCTGATCAACATAACATGTCTTTTGTTCTTTGAGTGCTCTGCCACCTGTACCTCAGGGCCTAGTTGCTTGTCCTCCAGGGGAGCCTTCAGCTGCCAGGGCTCTGGCAGGTGGTCCTGGGTTCTGACTTCCATAGGGCATAATGAGTCGGAATGCCCATGTGTTAAAGGGCAGGGTGGACTTAAGACTGTCCTTTCTTAATGTAATGAGGGTGTCTGAACAAACATCTCACCTCACTTTAGGACTGAAGCTTTCTCTTCCAGAATGGCTTTCTGTTAATTAGGTGCATTTTAAGTCAGACAGGTGGTGGATCTGGATTTTTTTTCCTAAACTTTGGTAAATAAGTAAGTGGTGGAGCTCATCTGTTGTGTTTACGTGCTGATTACTACTAGAACACATATCTGCAATTGTGTAATTAATGTTGAATCTAAGAAAGTTGTAAAATAGAACTTACGGCACATAATCCAATGTGAATATACATTAATTTTAGAAAACTTTAATAGTACATTGCATTCAAATAAGCTGTAAATAATTATTTTAAAGGGGCTTATTAAAAACTCATTTAATGAAAAACTAAAATGTAGAGTATGTCTTTTAAGGTTTGTGTTATTGAAACTAATGATCATTAGATAAATAAATGACAAATTACCCCAAAAAACAGTCTGAGAGGTGATTTACTAATTCTTTAATTGTATAATACATAAAAATCAACTTTGATCCTTCGCTGTCATTTGCTTTATTATTTCCTGAAACAAGAAAATCTGTCCTGAGGTGTTAACCTCACCTTTACTGATCCTAAGGCCTGTTCTTACCCTTATCCTTGTGGCTTTGCGGAGTGTTGACACCAGCTTTCATTCATCGTGGCTTTTTGTTTTCCCTGGTTCCTGTAATTTCTTTCCAAATCTATATTTGTGGTTTGGCTGAGGGCAGTCCTGAGTACCCATGTAGAACTTGGACTTCACTTCCTTGCCTTGCACTCAGCACCATCTATAATTCTCTCTGTGAGGACAGGCGCTGGTCCTTTACGCTGCTGTTACCTCTAGAAAGCATGATTGGCACTGTTGATTAATCACAGACTTTCCCAGCTGAGCTGAGATACAGATTGGGAGTCATCAACCTAAAGGTTTCAGGAAGATGCAGTTAGTTACTTGAGATTGACAAAAAAGCCTATTTTTGTATTTTCTCTTCACAGAAGGATCCTAAAATTGTAGTCCCCATTTTACAAGACTTCCTTAAATGTAATGTACCCTTCTAAGTTTTAAATGTGAATACATTTGTATACTCCTTATCATACATGTTTTCTTTACGAATATCCAGCTTCCTCGTGTTTCCTAAAAATTGTCTGTTAGCTTTATACTGTTACATATTCTTTCTACTTCTTTTGAAATGCATTTGGTGTTTGGATTTCCACTACCTCCTTCATATCCCTAGGTCTTTATTTGGATTTGGATAATTTGAAGAATCTTCCACCCTCAGAATTTCTCTAGATTTCCTCACCCTAAAAATTCACCTATTAGTGTGTAAAACTGTACGGCTTTATGATACATGTGCTGAAAAAGATACTGATTTTACAAAGCTCTCATTGCTACCTTCCACCACAGAATGCCAAGAAGGGGAGAATCAGAATTTTCTCCACCATGTCCAGAGTGATTTTTAGCGTGAATTTCTAATCCTCAGTCGTGGATTAGGCCAGAGAGACTATATAGAAATACAGTGAAATGGTTTATTACTTAACACTGGTCTTTGCCAAAGTGAGGGGTATTTTCAGGGTGATCAAGGAGCCCTTTTTGTATGTATAAATTCAAACAAACCTTTTATATGCAGTTGAAAGTCTTCCTTTTCATGAGACTTAACCTACAGCAATTTCCTTTCAAACTCAGCAAAGGACTGACTACCTTTCGAGGTAAGATTAACTTCGTACTGTGCTGCCTCCATTTCAGTTGAATTTTTCTGATTATAATTACATTCCCTAAAAGCCCAAAGAAGAGTAGATGATGTACAGTAGAGTTCTAAGCAAGATGATTAACTTTATCTGTCAGATTCCTATCATGTTCTTTGGCTTCCTAACTCTTGAGGTAAGTAAAACTGTTCCATGGTTCTTCTGTCCTGTCTTTGCTCTGTCTCTTGTTAAGGTTTGGCTAACATACACTTCTGAATTACTTTTTAAAGATTTCTGTCTTCACTGGTGTTACAACCTTGACACCTTCTTCCCTCTAAATCATAGTCTTTGATCAGTGCTTCCTGTCAAACATCTTGTGATTTCATGTGTCTTTCTAAATATTCTTTCCTTCAAAGTGGAAGAAAAGGTGATCTTTCTTTCCATGTTTGGTTTCTGTTTCCCTTTTCTTTCATAGATCATGTGTCTTTGATTCTCCAATAAAAAGAATGATATTTCATCATTACATATATATATATATATACACATACATGTAAAATATCAACCATGTAACATATCAACTAAGCTAGTCTTTTTTAAAAAAGTAATAATTTTTTAACAAAACCTAATTTCTGTTAGTCTTAAAAACATGAATTGGCATTTCAAGAAATTAAAAATTGTGTGATTGTGATATTTTGATGTGGTTTGGTCTCATACGCTCAGAAACAACAGTTTTTACTACCATTAATAGTTTTTCCTACATCTTTATTCTGTTTTTCCAGCGTAGTTTTCCATCTCTCAGTGTGTTTCTTGATATTGGGTTGCTTCCTTTAAATTTTAGTTTCACTACCACATGGCTATCTGAGAGGCTTAAAGGCTACTTGACTTGTTTTCTGGTCTTTCGTCAATCACAGTGAAATGTCAGGAGTAAAATTCTGACCTGATAAGAACAGAAACACGATCAATTTGGGCAGTTTTTGATTGATTGACATATATAATTAAAATTGTACACTCTCAGAAACTCAGATGTCACAGTCCTGTGTTCCAACTATTAAGGGCTATTTATCAGCCTTTGGATGGTGATTTGAACAGAACACTTAGAGTGATTCGCTTAGAGTACTTGTCCAAGCTCAGGTTCAAACTTCTAACAAGAAGTTGAATAGGAACTTATGATGCTAATCTTTCAGTTATTCTACTTAGCTACTTTGATACTCAGCTTATTATACATGCATGCATATACACTGGCTAATTTTAAACAGTGCATCTTACTTTTCCTGTGTACTTTATATATGGTTTTGCTCTTCAGACTGAATGCTTATGAATAAACAAACTCCCGGCATCCTTTTGTCTTTGTAAATCATAAGGATTAAAATTATTAGATATCAGCGAGAGACTATTTACATGTGACATACACTGGATACATTTACATGGGCCAATTTAATCTTCACCTCTGTGAGGTAGACAGGAATTCGCTCACAATTTATGGATGCGGTAGCTAATGAATGGAGTAATTAGGTACTTTGTACACAATTGCTTTTCTCAATTTCTCTATTTTGTGTCCCTGCTGTAAAAGTAGATACATAATCCCTTCCCTTTCTATGAGCACATGGCTTTTGGTCCCTATTTATGGCATGATAATTCTCATGGAAATGGAATATATCTTACAGCCTGGATAAAGTAAATTTAAAGGAAATCTGCAACATTATACTTGTGATTCAACAAAATCTATCTACCATTGTTATAACTCGTGCCTCGGTATAAAATCCAAGGAAACAAGAGACCGAAAATTTAGGTAGCAAAGGCTTTATTTCCAGGCCTGGTGACAAGCCTCCGGGAGCCAATTTGGAGACTGTGTCCTAGAGACTGAAGGAAGGACTTTAAAAAGAGGCTGGAGGAAAAGGGTCGGGGGAGAAACAAAGAAACCTGCAGAGCCATCAAACTTGTTGACCCGAGTCTGGAAACTGTATTGCTGTCCACTTAGCTCTGACAATCTCGGGAATTCCTGGTGTTTCTCAAATTACTCCCATCCTACAGACTGACATTATCTCGGAGTGGCACATCTGCAGCAATATTTGGGGAAGAGAGTGGACAGTTAATTATCCCAGGACAGCTCGTTTTCGCTAGTGGGTGCGAAGGGGTCAAGAGTTACAAGAAGCTGAAACTTAAGTTTTACAAAGATCTGATATCTAACTCATTTGATGCATACAGAACAAAAGGAAAGCACCGATTGGGGTTTGGGCCATAGTATTTCCCGGTAATTCAGTTCTTAAAATTTGGGGCAGGCTCATTTTATGACAGATCATCACTGGGTTGATGGTCACCAGAAACCCAAATTCTTTATGGCCTAGATAAATAGGTGAGGGGAGAGGGAGGCAATAAGGCGCCATACAGAACAGAAAATGGCAGTTATGTGTCAAGGTCAGGTAAAGGGTTAAACTCATACGCAAATCTCTCTGCACACAAGCAGGTTACTTTAAACAAGTGTAAATTAATGGGCCATTCTAGTTTTCTTTAGCTCTTTAGCAGAGAATAGAAGCGCCTAACAGTGATTAACAACCCGTGTTAGCTTGTTTTAGCACAACTTCTGTAGTTTGTAGAGGGCAACAATGGTTAACATATCAATTAGGTGAGATTCTTGCAATTCTTTACAGAGGAGAGTATTGCTCAACATATCGATTAGGTCACTTAACATATCAGTTAGGAAAAAGGATAAAACACATTTAGTAAGCCACGTTTGCAGGTTTTCTATAATACACATATCATGAAGCTATTTTCTTAGAGTACACCACCATCATTAACTACTGATTTGACTGAAAGTTATTGACTGCTTTGTGCCACATAATATGGCACTATAAAAATGTATACATGGACAGTCTCAGACCTTTATCTCAGAAGCTCAGAGTCTTTAAGGATAATGAATCTGACATGTCCTGGAAGTAGATCAGGGGAAAAGTTAATTCCAAACCAATCATGTTCTCTGCTTAGTGAGGAAGGGCAGGACAAATATAAAGGATATAGATGCAGTAAGTACCCACACTCCACAATGAATATACTCAAAAGTTTAAAAGAGGAAACATTGAGATACAAAGGACAATTGGTTTTTGTTGAGACTCTCAGTGAAAGTTTTCACTCAAGCTTAACCTTCATAGGACAGGGTTGGGGAGTGGCTCTTGATTGTTACTGTGAAGTTGTTTGTTACTAAACTTGAGGGCACCTGGGGCATCAAATCTACTTTATCCTTTCCCCTATG